AATCAATAGCTTTTAAAACAAACAATAAATTAAAACAATTTATAATAAAAGTTGAGGGCGTTTTGTTGACAGGAAGATCACCGTCCAGGTTCACGAACATGTCAGCTTGGTGAAAAACTACAAGGACACTGAGGTGACAGAAACCAAATCTGCTTTCGCTACTCATCTTTTGTCCACGGGACTTTTCTCCCAATAAAAATGTTATTGTTCTACATGAGTGCCCAAAAAGTAGAAAATTTGATCTTTTGGCGAAATTAGAAATCGCTAAAGCCAAGAAAAGTCCGTTTTTAATTTTGAGCCTACATTAATTTTTAATAATATAAACTGCAGATTATATTTTCATATTTTTTACTCAACGCAACATTTCTTATTTTATTTTTTAGTTTTCGGTAAATTGTAACGCATTCGGTCTCATTCCAATTTGTGTCTGTGTGTGTTCGAGTCTTTGTATGTGCGTATTCTTAATTTATCTTAGTTATTTATTATTTCAAAAAATTGCTGGTATAGGTGTAACGAAACTCAGACAAAATTTTATAAATAACAATTTTTGAGACATCGACTTCAGAGTTTAATTGAATCCTTCTAGTTTTGTGAAACCAGATCTCTTTGAGGATGGGCGATTTGTTTTATTTTATTACCGAACAAATATTGCATCACTGCTGTTCGGGTATATCGGAGATTGCAAACAAAGCAAGCACAAAACTATTTCAGTTATACAGAATGAGTTTATTGTAAAGGTTTAGGCACTGACAGTGAATTCGATTTTGACAGGAATAGCAAAATTTTGCCGTACGAAAATGCGGCAAGAAATGGGCATTATTATCTTTCACTTGCTCATTTGCTCGTCGTTCGATTATTTTCCAATAAAAACAATTTTTTTTGTAAATATTTGCGATGTTTTTTAATAATCTAACTTCTAAGTCTTTCAAAGTTTAAAAAAATGTATAAGAAAAATATAAAAAGAAAGTGTGTGGGGGGGGGGGCAATTGTTCTTGGAGTTTTTTAAACGATGGCAAAAGTATGGAATTTAAAAATTAAGCTTCGCTTTTCAAGTTAAAAAGTTTTAAGATCATGTTGTAGAGAACCTACCTATCTACCTACACGTGCAGCAAGAAGAGCAACAAACAATTAGTTAAAAGAAGAAGCTTCACTTAATTGAGGAATCTCTCGTTTCATCGGAGTTTTTTGCAGTTAATAGTTTATTTATTATTGTGTTCTGGAAGCTTTAAATGTTGATGACTACTGATTCCCGCATTTTTAAATATTTGTAGACCTTTTGATGTGTTTTTTTTTTCATAAATCATGAAAATTCATTTTTATGTCAAAGACGGTAAGGTATGGGTATAGCGAAAACTTAATAAGTACAATAACAACTCGGATACTAAATCTTATTATTGAAACACCCTGTATGTTTCGTCTAAAATCAAAACACTTAACTATTAAGATTTATTCAAGCGTCCAAATTGATTAAAAATCTAAAAAAAAAATTTTGAGTAGAATACAAACATGAAATGATAGGCAGGGAGTGTTATTTAAACTAAACAAAATGTCGCCACTTTATCATTTCAAAATGGTTATTAATTAATACCAGTAGGTTTTCTACATTTACAAGTTTCTTATCGTAAAAAATAAAAAAAATCACATTAATCCAAAGCACCCAGGCAGGTTGGAAAACTGAGAAATAATATAGTTAATTATATCGTATGACAAACAAAAAAATCTCCATTACTATCACTCTAAATAAAGTTTGCCTCACAAAATTGGCTGCATTACCCAAGTCATTCTAGTTTGATAGATACCGCTGGGTATTAATGTTTATTCAATACATTTTGAAAAATATTATACAAGGTGTCTGTTATATCAAGGAACTTCATTTTTCATACCTAAATCACTTACGTTTTGATTACTTCTATATGTTTTAAAATTATGCGTGATCAACTAGCATTGTTTTTACTCAAGTAGATATATTTTATTCCTTTTATTTCCTGTTTTACAATAGATACAGATACAGATAATAGCGAATTGCCCGAAAACGTTACAAAGGAATTTATGAAAATGGTCATTACTACAAAACTCTCCGCGTTTTTCGATTTATCCTATATAACTAAAACTATTTTCAACTTATAGATCTTTATCAAGCTTGGCAACTTGGCTATAAAGTTTTTTCTGTTTCAAGATAAATGTTTCCAATGGCGAAGATTAGTGCTAACGAAATTAATTCTAGGCTAGCCATAACGGAAATGATAATTCGTCAATGATTAAAACATGAGCAGAGGTAGGTTTATCGGTAATTGTTCAAGACACTTACCAAGTTCGTCGTATGCAGACCCTGAGTTAAAAACACAGAATTAAATGCGATTGTTACCAGACCTTGTATTATGTCTTTCATTTGACCAGTTTGGTTCATGAATTCCCCATAGCGCTTGCCATCGGACGGCCATATATACCTGTAACTAGCATTTATTCGTTCCATGACGTATTTTGAAACAAAACCGTCGACACCACCGAAACTGCTTCCTATCCTCGGAGTTCGCAAATTTTCAAATAGCGACACATTGATCGGAAACAAGTGCAGGTTTTTGCAATAGTTTGGAAATAAATCTACGCATGTGGATTTTTCGACAATGTCGTTTGAAAACGGGTTGATATTGAAAACTCTTACGTTATCAGTTTTAGTATCAATGTATACCAACGCCACGTTTAACATTTTATAGTCGGATTTGGCATGGTAATTTTTCATTAGCTCACCAGCTTCTCTGGCATCTGCGAACCCGCGTAAAAATAGTACTATCCGATCCCTAAACAACCAGTTATCCAGATGGAACATTTTGTCTAACGCGCTGCTTTCGAAGATGAAATAAAATGTAATTTCTCCTGTGCAATTTAGGTTGTTAAATGTAATCCTACGCTCAATCACGTCATTAATGTTTATCGTGTAAAATGGATATCTAATTCGGGTAAATATATGGGGAAAAGTATCTGTTAAAGTGTCGTCTGAATCGCCATCATATACGTAAATTGGTAACCACGATGGATTTTCTATCAGAATCGTTCCAATGCAATCTCGAAGAGATGAACCACTCGTTCTATTTAAGCACCAAATAATAAGTAACCAACTCAGGGCAATAGACAATGCCATTATCATTACTTAATCTTCAGTTTTGCTCAGAAGCTACAATGTTTGTTATCAGGCAAAATTGTACCCTTTGCACAGAGCTTTGCGGTTACAAATGACTGCGATGAAGTTACTTTCTGCCTTGGTTTTATTAGTTTTCCGTCGAATGTGATTTTCGTTCAATTTGTTATATTTCGTTAGCGACATTAATTGATTTGCTTTTAACGGTAAACACTGCGAGTAATGGCTTTTTTTGGCGATTCCCAGTGAATTCTTGTGGAAAAATGCTGTTAGTAATGAATGTCGGACAGTAAACGGATAAGTTGCCCGTTTGGTTACAAATTGTTGTCAATTTCATTCCCCAACATTAGTCATTTTTTTTGTCAAAGTGTCACAATTATTAATATGTCAATCTTAGAAAATCTTTCTTATACCGTAATCTTAATGTAAACACGGCAATAAAATAATGTATATATAAGGTGTTAACTACTACTACTAGTGTGTCACACATAAGCTGCCACACATGCACACATACTTTTCTTAAATCCCATAACAGTTATGAAAAAATGTTAACTACAGAAGGGAATTTTTAGGGATTAATCGGTTTGGATGATACAGGGCCGCCCATTTTTTTGATATCGGTTTCGGAATTTTTAATACTTTTTGTTTATTTAGTGATAAGAGGAATGTTAATTTTGATTTTCGGGTATACAATTATACCGGGTGTCTTTCCTAATTTGTGAGGTTCGACATTTGTGAATACCGAGATCTCATTTTTTGAGTGTCATGCCTTGTATATTATTCCATTAATAGAACCCGCATAGAACATCTTTGATACTTATATATAATGATTGTGAAATTATTTGACACACATTGCATTACAAATTTATCTAAGACTAAAAAATATAACAACATCGTAAACTTAAACAAACACTATTTTTATGGATAATTGAAAGAAATTCGGTATAATTCTAGACTTGAAAATCATGAAAACTCATTTTCAGTAACATGCCACATAATCTTAAATATTTCCTAAACCGTGCGGAAATCAAATAGGTCGCTCTGACGCAAGTAGTCTTTATTTTTATTTCTAAATCGAAAAACGGAATAAAATTAGTGGGTGTGTCATTTAAAATTCCAAAATTGATGTCGATAGCGAAGAAGATAGCATGCAAATAATCTAAAAATTAAATTAAGTAAGTGTTTTCAAATTGCGGTTTGGTTTCATTTTTCGTCTTTAAAACGAAGGGAAATATTTTTCTTAACTTTAACCCCATCCCAAAAAGCAAATATATTCATACACACTTTTGTTCCAAAAATATTTAAAGAATGACTTTCTGAACTTTATTTAAAAGTCGACAACCTCAAGTCTGATTATTGATTGAGTAGATAAGAGAAAAAATCTTTATATAAATTTAACTTCAAAACGTTATACCACTTCAATTTGTTGCATAGTATGCTGAGAAAAAAAACGTGCCTACGTATTGTTCCTTCATTTTAACTTTTTCTTTTACATGTTGCTTATCTTCATTTTTTTGACTTCTTCGTTCTTTTGCCGATTAAGTCACATTGACCCTACGTTGGGGATGATTTATTTATTTATTTTAGTTATTTAAGATAACAGTAAACAGAAAATGTAGTGTGATTTTTTTTTGTAAATGTTGGATGCGCTGGGATCAATGTTCTTAATTACAATATAACCTTTTGCGGTACAATTCTGCAGCAATATATACTCACGGTGTTTTCAATTTTTATTATTTATGTCAAAAACGTTGCGAAAAAAAAATATCGAAGTTATCACCTACAAATTTGAGCAACTTTTCATTAAACATCTAAGAGAAATGCACAATGTTGATCGGGAAATAAATCGGAAATTAATCACAAAAAACAAGTTTATTGCGGAATATCAAATCCATTTATATGTAAGATACATTGCTAAAAAAATATACATAGCATAGAAAGGCACATAGAAACATTACATTCAATTATTAGAGATGTTGGCATGGAATATCATAAAAAAATATAAAACACATCTACCGCATTAAAATGCTTTCCAAAGCCACAAATACGTTTTATTAACTGAGTATTTCTTTCTTATTTTTATATTAATCATTGGCAGACATTAATAGTATGCACCTTATAGAAGATAATCGCTAGTATACGAGTATGGCGAGTACAACTGGCAGACAGTAAAAGATAATGTTGAATGTTCGTTCTGATGAAGTACACTCGTATTTTTTATTATAAACGCGAAACATATTAAATTTCGATACAAACAATAAAAAAATACAAACAAAACTAAATTATATACATTTAAATACGACGATTATCAATTAAATGTAAATATCGTTAAAAATAAATAAATTATGGAAGGGTAAGTATGAAAAATCGATGGTTACCGGACACAACAATATGTACTTGAATAACTGGACGTTGTTTCGTAATTGTCAGATCATCCCAAATAAAAAAGCGGGACCACAGGGCGTCTTAGAGTCCTCTGTAACTTCTCATGGCGAATATGGTGCTGAGTAAATACAGTCCGGCGTTTACTAATCCAATTACCTGAGAGAAAATCATTTTTTCAATTTTCAATTTTTCAATATATAAGATTGAAATTTTAAAAATGTGGACATTTTTGAGGTCAGAAATTTCAAGCATAATTTTATAAAACTGAGTATTTAAATAGCATCCAGTAGACAGTAAAATGTTAGCAAATTGTTATTCATTGTTTCTATTTTCCATCAAGAGACAGACAGGCACTGTCTTAACTAAATTTATTTTTGCTGTTTTTATGCAAATGGAGCTTGTCTCAAAAATAATATTCTTGATAATTCAATATTCAATAACCATCAGGCACTTACAGCAGCTGCGAAATAAGGCTCGTAATCATTGTAATAAGATCTCTTTCGATGGTTTACTTCAATCACGAACGTCAAGCTGGCTGCCAGCAACAATAGGAAAGCAAACCCGTGATACACAACTTCCTAAAATAAAACTTTCGATTATTGCAATTAATTCGCGGGCGAATCACAATTTACCTCAAGGTTACAAATTTTCTCATTAATATTGACTGCTTTGATAGCTTCGTATTACGTGGGATTTTCCCACAGAAATAAATAAAACACGTCCACGCATGAAAAATTAATTTGAAATAATAAGGCTTTGACTACGGGAAATTTCATTTTTCTGTCGAGTAGCTGACTAGGGATTGCTTATTCGTATTACTTATTTATTTTCCCATATGTTGATATATTTCATCGATGAGAATATCAATAGCCTTTAGACAAATAGCTGAAGGCGTGGATGTCATTGACAAAAACGACAACTACATAAAAGGTATGAAATCATGAGTAAACGAAACGACCTAGAAGATGCATTCGTCCTCAAGGTCGGCATTCAAGTTTATTGCGCATCAAACTGCACACACATTTTAAAAGGCAATTGAGGCGATTATTGTAATAATACTTACGTAAATTGTTTTCGAAATAATGGATGACGTCGAAATTGAAATGAGGCAGGACACCAACAACATAAACGTGCCGAGCATGAATGTCACCGCCATCAACAGGAAGAAGGTCTCGGGGGTCTGCGTGAAATTCTGGAACCTTTGGTAGTAGTAGCTGACTAATCCCACCGTCACGATACCTAAAATCTATCGATAAACTCTTCTTTATCCATTTGAGTTTTTTTGAAAAAAAGAAATATTGATTTTGGATCCTGTACATTCATAATGCACGATAAGTGTTTGGGTTGTATTGGTCATAGCGTTCCATTGCGACTATGACACACGTTGGTACAACATATAGACTGCGTTAAATGTTCGACCGTGGTCAAACAGCAATTTCTTTCTGCATTTTAATTGTGTAATAAGCAAATGTTTAGCTTTGGTTATTGTCTGTTATTCTGTGGCTCTTGAGCATATACCCAGTTACACCATTATATAAAAATACGTATATGGAAGAGAGAGTACAACTTGGCAACAATGCACTCGAGTCAAATATTCACTGGTTCTCACCCTGCCAAACCTCAAGAGATGATACTTTGAATGATTTATGAGACGAAGAGATTATATTTTATGAGTATAAGTAATGGCAAGGCTTCGTTTTCAAAAAGAAGATGGACTCAAATTTATAAAAAAAAGTGCAAATTAACAATTTCACACAAAAAATTGCTCGACGATAAAGAAATGTTGCTTTGCTTTAAAAATGTTCTGCTAGACGATGTAAAACTTTTGGGTTCACAGTTTAGAAACACATATAAAGATGTTGCAGCAACAACAACTTAAAAATAACCGAAAGGCATAATAACGAATAAAGTCAACAATTTACGTAATTCATCCATATTTGGACGCCTCGGTCATTATTGATCTTGACCCAATTCAGCAAACCAGCTTAAACGAGAACTTGTTTTTACCACTGTAGTTATTTAGCTAAAACCAGTATTCAAAAAAGCGATTTTGCACATTTTGCCAAAAGTCTCACCACCCATACCACTTTAGTTTGGAATAAGTAATACCTGCATGTCTTTGGTAGATCTTAGGTGCAAATTAGAAAGTCAGGTGCAGGATGAGGAAATATAAACATTTTAAATTAATAAAAACTTTATTTGTTTAATTTGTTTAAGAATAGCATCAATTTGTGAAAAGGGCTATTAATTTTGTTTCTAAATTACCGTCCTAAAGTATTTTTTCCCAAATGATTTTATAATGCGTAAATCACCTGATTTTGGACTTTGGGGAAGTTGTTAAAACACCACCAATTTTTAACAAACATAAAATCAACACACGTAGAACAAGTAATTTATTGGCAAAAATAATTTTCGATTTTAGTAAATATTTCGACGCCTCTGCCTGTACTGATTTAACGGATTTTTTATAAATCAGTAAAATAGATCACCGGTTGATAACTAATAAAACAGTACCGAGAATTATGAGTTTAATTTTATGTGGTCCTTTATTTCATTGGAAAATTTTCATTGCTTTGTTGATCTGAACTAAACTGATCATAATTTATGTAAATGTCAAGATATGGCCACAACTAGTCTTAATTTTATAAACTGGAAAAATTTAAAGAAGAAATTGTTATTAGGTAAATTTTATTTGACATCCAAAAAATTATCGATATATTTTCGATTTCGATATCGATCGATTCTATTGAATTTCAAAAGGCGGACATTTGTGAGCAGAAATACTAGTGATGAAGTAAATCAACCAATAATGTTGGAGGCGGTATAGTAGCCATCGTGATCGAGGAACAAAATAAAACTTGACGTCAACAAATCTATTTTCGTCACTAAATTCGTCGATCTGAAAACTTACTAGTTGTGCTAGTTTGAGAAGGCCGGGCCACGATTTTAAATAGCCCGTGTTGATGATTATAGCGGATGTGGTGGTTGTTGTTGTGGTCCTCGTGACCGTTACCGTGTGGGACATTTTCCTTTTTTCTTATGTCGCCTGAAAAATAAAGAAATTAACACATTTCTGGACGGAAGAATTCGAAAGGTTTTGTCGTTTCAAAAATGACGCTGTCAATCAGATTGCGAATTTTCACTTGGTTTTTAAGCCAAACATCTTTTTCACTTATGGTGGATTTATGAGCCATAATTCCATTAACATTGACAATAATTTAAATTTTGCAGTAAAAAGCTTTTAAGTAAATCCTCCGATTCTTATACAATTTCATTATTTATAAATTAAAATTAAATAATTACAATTTGAATTAATGAAATTAGAAACTTGTTAATTGTCTACGTGAAATGAAATATAAGTATGAAAATGGTATTTTTTGGATTGTGCCTTTCTTCAATTTTAAAATTTTGCAATCATTTAATGCTATATATTAAAAGATGATTTTAAATTGTCTTAATTATTTTTCACACGGTTTTCCTAGCTGCTCATTATCAAGAGTTTGGTTGAAAATTATATTAAACAATTTATAACAACCAAAATTTTCCATTAAATTTATTACATTAAATTACATTAAATTATGAAAAATTCATAATTAAAACCAATTCAATTTTAGCATAAAATCCGAATACAACTAGATTGAAATGAAATATAAAACCTAAGCCCGCGCTTATTTATAACAATTTTCAACAAATTTTCTTTTATTCTTTTGACTCGCTTCGTCAAAGAGTTGTACAAATTTTTCACATTTAAATTTTGACTGTTTGAACTTTTTAACTTTTTCAAATATCTCATTTCTAAAATCGTTAATTTTTACATGTAGTCGTTTAATACGAATAAATAAATACGTTCCTCATGTAGTTACGCAGTAAGCATCTATTTTTGTGAAAATTATAATAATTATGCATAGCATCAAACAAACTATGACCTTGAAGTGTGTGAGATTTTTATATTTCATAAACATTTCGAACGATAATATCATGTGTCACCATAAAATTTCTGATAGAAGTCGGAAAATGTTTAAACAAAACGCTGAAAGTCGATCTCTTCAAATAACCGGCGTTACTATATTAGTCAGCTCTATTTATTTCTCGTTCATTCATACGTGGCGACTTTTATTAAATAGATGGCGACGTTTTGGTCATAAAACTTTACCAGTTTTTGTCATTAACATACATAAAAGATTTAAAGAATCGCAAGGAGTATTATCATGTTAGAAATCATAGATATCTGTAATTTAATGAAGAACTTTCGTTATTCGTTAATAACAAACGCTCGTTGCCTCCGATATGAGTGCCTAACAAATACCTAATAATATTTAGAAGAAAATAAGGGTTTGGATACCAAGAACATAGAGGTATAAATAAAATACGTTACTATTATGAATAATTGTGTACTTTATATAAGTTTAATTTAATTGCTCAAGCTATTCTGTTCCAATATGATTGTTTATTTCAAACCAGCTCCGTTTTAAACGAAAATCTCTGATTTGATTTAAGCTGACATGCGTTCTTGGACGTTTTGGCTCGCCTATATTAATTTTATTTTGCAATTGAAACTTAAGGGCCGCGATGGTAAAGCCCATATAGCTATTAGATAATGTTGCGCCTCTACTAACCTGCAGTTTGGGCCATTTTCTTTCTAAACAACGATTTCCACACATTTTGTCAACGATTTCCACATGTTTTGTCAGAACATTTAACGAGATGCCCCATTCAAACTTATTGACGATCTGTCAGCGGCCATTTTGGCCGTTGAATACAAAGTCACTAGTAGCGAGATTTTAAATCTCGCGCATGCGCTTTTGATTATGCCAAAAATAATTATTAAAGTTGCTTCATAAATTGCATAGACAGGGCCTCTATATCGCTAGTATCTATATGGTACAGCCGAATAAAAAAATTAAAATTAATAACCCAGATATAATGAACATAACCTGAAAGGTGTTAAAGGGTTCCCCGCTAGTTTAACCGGCATTTCCATGAAATTTTTGGTCCTCTAAGGAATAAGGAAATTAAGGGCCCTGATATTTCTATGTAATTTTTTATTCATTTTTAGTAAAGCAAACCGCTGTACATTTGCCTCAAATTTTGGACTAATCCCTCCCTCATACGAATAGAACTGGAGATAAAAATCTAGATATTTCTTTGTATCTTAAGTAACATAGCATCATGGTACCATTTTAGGTTATTGCTGTAATAATTACAGACATAACCTAATTAATTAATTAATCGTTCATTGATGATTCTATTTTTATTTTCTATTTCAATTTTCATAAGATTTTATAAATTTCAATTGAATAAATTATGAAAATTCCCAGACAGTATGTATTCGAAAATTAAATGTGTGACATTATTTTTAATTAATGATTTTTTTCCTGCAATACCTTTATATGTTTTATATTACATATATTTAATGAATTAATGAATTGACCCTAAGATTTGCACGCGTTCAAGCAAATGTCGGTAATTATGTTAATTTCGCTTATTACTTTAAATAAGGGAATTTTAAATTAACTCAGTGCAAAAAACACTTACGTTTGATATTAAATACGGCACTCCACTTATTTTTTAAGGCGATAAAGTCACCCACCGAAAATAGACCGCGCGATATGTAACTCAGACGTGGATTGGATCGATACGAACCCAACTGTTTTCCTTTTCCTCAAAAAGGAAACGCGTCTGCGGAATCGCCAAAAGATAACGTCGCAATCGAGAAATTCCCGCGCATTCTATAGGTATACACACATTCGTCTATCTACCCGTCACGTATTATGAATAAACTTTTTAAATTTATCGACTTACCTGTTGAAGATTTGTTTATCGTGGAGGTGGGTGTAGTCCGGTATCGCGTAGGTGCTTTTTGAACTGGCGCTGTTAAAACAGCTGTAGACGTGACTGAAATAACCGCGGTTTGATTATAAACGCACTCGAACGGACTTGGCCTATTTTCGCTTTTGCTGTCCGAATACTGAAACAGCAATGGTTGAGTTTACGCGCGTTAAACAATTGCCTTACCGAATTTACAATTTTCACCAAAAAAATTTATAACCAACTTCGAACATTTTTCGCTCAGCTACCGAACGTTGACAAGACAAAAAGGGTCGGTTTCATTTAGCGCTTTCTTCTGGTTAGATCAAATAGTTTAGGGCTGATCAATAACAATTTTTTTAAAGTCATTACGAAAGGTTAAATGGGCAATTTCGATTTTCTTTACCAATTTTGAAGGTCAGTTCATTTTTTTTTTAACATTGAACAGGAATTTACACGGCGATTTAACGACAGTTGTTCCAACTTTTACTTGCGTATAATTGGGATGTTCCAAAGTACAATTACTTAATTTAATCAATTTTAGTTGATCCCACTTTTACTTGCGTATGCTTGAAACATAGAAACATAGAAGTTTTGGCATTGATGTGACACTTTAAAGAAATGACTTCGAAAATGACACGCTTTGTAGCAAGATTTTGAAAATTTGAAATGACAGAAACATAAAAAATAAGCCAAAAAAATTAATGATTTTTTACAGAAAAGAATTCGAGACAGCAGTGCACTGGTTACATAATTCAAAATTATGTTTGGAATGTATGGAACCAAATTGAATAAGTCTTTTTATAGAAAAATTAAGAAACTAAGCCATACAAATAGAAAAAATAATAAGTGTGTTTCTGAAGAATGAAAGACTTACAAAAAGAAAAGGGACGGAGATAACTAAATTTTAAAATTGTTCCAAATGACAAGCTAATTAGGCATATTTTAGCAATATTTTTCCATAGAGCGAGGTAAACCCTATCAGTTCTTTGGATCGATTTGGAAATTATGGTTTAAAAAACCTATCACAACTAACCTGAAATCTAGAGTATTGCGTTTTATTTTGCAAAAACAATGTGAACGATGTCTTTGATAGCCATTTATATCCGAATTTAAAGCGGTTTACGGAAAACAAAATAACAAGTTTTGTATGAAGCTGCTTTTCAAAAGAATATCGATTTTCACACAATTTAAATCGTCCTCACGCTTCATTTATTGTCATTTTCGCCTTGCAGAATATATTTAGTTATAAACTTGTGATCCTTTGGAACTACAGCACGACATCGTTTTAGTGGCCCCTAAATTTTAAAGAAATATTATGATTTTAAAGAAAAGTAAAACATTTTAGCTGATAGAGCTAAGCATCCAAACTAAATTCTTCTTAAATTTAGATTTAGGTTTTTTATGGTTTTCGACTGTGGTTTAGAAAAATTTGGAGAAAAATATACTTGAATTTGTTTGTTGTCAAAAACTATAAAGAGTAAAACAATGATATTTATTTATTTATTGCAAAAACTATTTTATTTAGCTTATTTAGGCTTAAACAGTATATGATTTCATTTTTTAATAATTGCATCCTTTGCAGTTATAAATGTAATATAATATTTAAGTCTTGTTGGAGGGTATAATACGACAAATTAGTAGAGACGGTATAGAAAAAATTACTATATGTAACTGAATAATTACGAAAAACACACGAACGAAAAATTCTAAATTAATTATGTGTGGAAATATCTCAACGAAATCGTATTTTTTTAAAACACACGAAACAAAAGGAGTTAATGAAAATGAAAAGACACAGTTTTTCTCCACAAATATATCTATATGGACATACAGGGTAAAATATAGCAGAATGATTCAATTTTATTCTTAATAATTAAAAAACAATTTTCTCATAAATAACATAACTGGTATGCTGCATCTATATCAATGACACACATTGGTATAGAAAACACATAGATTCTGAAATATCATTCCTATATAACATAAAACAGGTTTTTTGAGTACTAAGTAAAATAAATATACCGCGTTTAAAACCACTATATACGTCATATGTACGGTAACCAAACATGGGAGAATAAAAGACAATTGATATAACATTTTATTGGACACATTAAAAATTTGTAAAATACAAAGTAAGTCAAATTTTACTATTGTTACTAATTGAAAATACCATTTTCGTAAAAACAAATCGTGTTAAAAGGCATATAAGGCGATACCACTTAGGTACTATTTAATGCGAACAAAATATTTATTCAAACTTACTCATAATTCTATATCCTAATAACTGCAGTGTTTTTCTTTATAGTTAATAACGATTTACCGGGTTGTGTTTGCAGTCTAATCATGATAAAAACATAATTAGGTTTTTACATTATAACGATTTCCCGTAACACTTATTGTAACTTTAAATAACGACTCAAAAATGACAAACCTGAGCGGGCAAAGTTATATTATCATACCCACGTGGAAAGATAACACTAGTATAATATTGTATTAATAAATAAAAAAAATGTAGCATAGAAAAACTTAGTACCACCTGTACATCGCGTAACAAAAATACATTTACATCGTACTTTAACACTTATGAACTACCAGTACTTGTTCTGTTAATACAACAATAATTAATTACGTGTTCGGGATGCTTTCCACTCGACGTGGAGGAGGTACGTCGCAAAAGCATAAACTAAGGCGTTCAGAATGCCAAATACCTGAAAACAAAAAAGCTGGTAAAGTATATGTAAAGCACGAATCCTGAAGGAAACGCTAAAAAAATGGCGGAATAGACACTGAATTAAAAATGTTTAAATTTTTAAATATACTGTCAATAGTATTCCGACTCTGACTCTGACTTTTTTTCTACAATACCACTTGAATTTAAAAGCAAGCGAAACTTGGACGTTTCTAATTTAAACAAAAGTTTCAGTTTCAGAATTGTCGAGAACGGAATTAATTGGGTGCTGTGACAAATCATTTTAAATACGGTGTTAGTAGAGTTCTCCCGACGATATACCCGTATTTAACTTTGGTCAATTTTTATGAATGTCTAACCGCAGGCTACCTTGCTGGGGTTTCTCTTTGTAACCTTCACAATGACGTTCCAGAACCGCACTTCGGTACTTCGTGCATACAAATGGAGAATTGTGACGGATTTTAATAAACTGGATTCGATAAATTGTAATAAAATGTATATGGTACCTCAATAAAAATGTCTCAGTCTTGAAAAACAATTAAATAACAGTAAGTTGATAATTACTAATGACAAACGCAAGACGGAATAGGAATAACTCATAAAACTGACAGCTAACTACTATTTCACCAACCCCCCCCCAAATCAACCAATAGCAAAGTGGGAAGACATCCATTATAAATCCAAAATAAATAACTTTTAAAATTATCTTCATAAGATTTTTCACTGCACACAAGAGTAATTATGTCAAACCCGTAAATTGGAAATCAGTTTAAGCTTTCTAATGTCTTTTTAATACAAGAGATCGGCCTATCTAATAGGCAAATTCAAGTTGAAATCGAGCTGCCTCAAGTACGGACTGCTTTAGGAAGTTTTATAAAAAACACACTAATATGAATTAATATAGGAATTTAATCAAAGAAAATTTCCATATTCTTAAAATACAACAGTCAGTACGGCTTGTGCTACACGTACTGAAAAGAATAGTTCCTTCCGGCGGTCTTGACAAAAAAAGTAAACAATAAAAATGGACAATTAAGCAAAAGTATCTGACGTGCGTAATTTGTGGCGAATCTACGATACATTCTAGAAAATTCGTTTCTTCCTCTTTGAGGTTATACGTTACATCTTGTACTTGATGATTTTAATAATAAATATTTATTTTATTACTTATCTTATTTTTCGCATCCAGTTTGTCAGCAACATTTATAAAATAAATAAATATATTATGAACACTTATAGACAGTTTAATGTATCAAGTAGGTATAGCAGTGGATATAGAACGATTGAAATATATACTTTTAACTTTGGCACAAAATTTCCTATTGGGCCATGTTATACATGAATTAGATATTAGATCTCTTAAAAAACTAACTATAGTAAAGTGATCCTCAGCTGCAGTGGTCATTCTTTTGCCTCCCAGTAAAAAGTTCTGAGCCGTAAATATGTATTGCAGACACCTCGAACTCTAGCCCACGCAATTCTCAAAGTATGAATGACACAACTTTTGCCACGGCCATATCTCTATTAAAGTAATAATTCTATGGAGTTAATAGCCAATTAAAATAAAACAAATGATAGTATTGTTATCGGCAAACATTCTGTCAATATAGCTTATAGCTAGTACCGAGCGAAAAATATCAACTAGGCTCAAGGAACATAAAAGGGCTAATTTTTCAAAGAAACTTTCACAGGCTACTGTAATGCTTTTTACAAAACTTCTAGATTCCTCCTGCGTCGGTTTTTGCTTAGTCGAGTTTTGGGCCTTAAGACTAAGACAAATAAACTCATCAGCAGTTGCCGAACACACCCGGATATAAAATTGTATTCCACAAAACTAAAATTCTTTTATGTAATCCATTCTACGAATGAAAAATCCGAGAATCTGTAGAAATCTATAAGCAACCTAACAATCTTAACCGCCAATATGGGAATCAATCACCCGAGACGGTGTTTATGTCCCTCATTTAGCTCCGCCCCTCTCAAACAATATATAAACAGGTACAGAATAAAATGCGAGCCAGTGTCAGTTAAGCTCTGAAGAAGTCAACAGGGTGATTGGCGAAATTTAAACTCAACAAAACCGGCGCAGGAGGAACCCAGAAGTGTGCGGAAGTTTCTTTGAATCATTATAGTAGCTAGTACCAAAATCAATAATTTTTAACCGAAAGCTTAAGTTATGTTCTCTGAAAGTACCGTACGTTTTAATTAAAAAAAAAAGGTCCGAAACACGAAAAGATTATAAGAAACGATATGTAAGAAACTGGATAATTTTCCTAAAGGGTGTTTTGAGGCTGTGACAAAAAGCAACAATTTGGTTTACTCATATTTAATATAGTCTGGTTAAAAAATTATTTTCTATAAAATAATTAAGGATATATTACGTTCTCATAAAATGTCGCTTTGCTATAAAAGCAAAGAAAACTTGGACAAGCCAATTTTGCTACGACAGAAAAATCATTGGTTGGTGAAAATAGAGTTTTTTACTTTGATAATATTTTTTTGACTATGGTTGCAAAACTCTTCTCTCAGTGAGTCTTCTTATGAAAAACTAGATAGCTTAAGAACACAAAAATAACAAGCATTAAGAATGAGGTACAACTCCTTGCTTAGACTTGCACTGGACAACGAATACTCTTTGCATTTGCCCATTACTCATCTAACGCAGCTTAAGTGACTAGGCGATAGAGGTTACTTTAATTATTATACAAGGCAATTTGGATAATTGACAATTAAATACTACAAAAGCGTAACTGAGAAAGAATTTCGCCTTTATGCAAACTTAGTGGTCAAACTTGTGGCACTCGTATCGCGTATATATACTTATCGTTGATTTAGCCTATCGTCTATGCTAGTGTAATTACTTACTCCTGCGGTTATTTGGGCCCCTCTTCTAAAATGACCTGGATAAAGCCCCGTGGACGCTATCAGTTGCAGAATGAAGGCGATGAAGTAACAAACGGTGCAGATGCCGGTATTAACCAATTCCTAAGCAGGAAACATTACTATTATACGTAATGCGCATCGAAACTAGTTGAAGCTGGTCGTTAAGGCATGGCTATCATAAAATTTTAATTTTTTGACGACTCGTCTGACAAGGAGCTAACACCATTTCTTAAACTATCCAAAAATAGTTCTTTTCGTGAAAAACGGTATGCTTCTATACATGACTAAAGTATTTTCAGGAAAAGAATTGAAATAAATGTTATATATTATCATTAAATAATGTGAAGTAGTTACAATAGTAATGATTAATAATATATCAAACGCCTTATTAATTAGGTTTTAACTTCAGTTACAAGAAAATTTCCTACTACTATGTAAGAAGTAAATAGATTATTCCTCCAAGATATTTCATTAAGAAAATAACTTCAACAACATTTGGATAGGACAGAATTAATATTCCATGGTGTAGCGAGGTTTTTAAATATATTATTGAGAATTTTGGTACAGATATAACAATATTTTTCGAAGCCATAACTCTCGAGTCGATAATAAGTAGGTACTATACATCTGCTTTGACGTAGGTATACTTCGTATATTTGGTTTCGTTTTAATTTGTCCCTAATTTTGTTGTTGTGTGATTCTGAAGATCAGGACTATGGAAGAAAACTAACAAAAAAAAAAACTTACTATAAAAAATTGTACGAGAAGGCACTTTTTGAAGCAAAAACTACTATAAATTATATAATTAAATCACTAATGTAATAAATAATTAAATATATTTAATTAAAACTATTATATTATACACTTCACTTAAAAATTGCATAAATGTCATTGATAACATTATCAAAAGACCAACCGCAGAAAAATATTTGCGAAATGTTTATGATTTTTTCTACTTACTGTTAAAATCCAGTCTATAGGAAAGCTAATAGCTTCTCTTATTCCTAGCAGGTAGACAAACACCCATATTAATGTACCGATGAAACTGACGGTGACGACAAACAAGAAGAAATGGGAACCTCCGGAGTATGCTGGAGAACCCAGTCCCATGCAGAATATTCCTAAAACCTAAAATATATATTCCAATGAGCAAAATGCAACAAAAATGAATTTTTATATGTCATGGTCAAACAAAACTGGATACTCTTTTTTTGTGGAAGCTAGAAGATATTAAACGATCCACTAATTCGCAAAAGAAGATATATTTCCCATAGTAACTGACGGTTTGCTCACGATCAAATAAAATTTAAGAAATATAAATAGAAGATAATAATTTTATCTCGCAACTAGCAACTAAATAAAAAATTGTAAAATTATTTTCGTGCAGTAACTTTTGAACTTATTGAAGATCAAAAAATATATGGGGTTTAAAAAAAATAATTTAATTTTTCTTACTATTTATTGAAAGCAACTAAGAGAGTAAACATTTTTTCAATAAATTAACTTAAGTGTGATATAGTATCAAAACATAATTTCTGCTACGAGTTACTATATTTAGATTCCAGTAAATATCACAAATGGTATGAAACATTATATTATTTTTAACGAGTAACTTTAGGCAATGGAAATCTGGAATTGTAAAAGTTCAAGGCGTTAAATATAATTTCTAATTCTCCACCTAAAATAAATCGAGCTTCTTCTACTGCACGCTTCTGTGAATTTTACATTACGCCGCGTTTACTTAACAGAAACTACTGTGCAACGATCCGATCAGCGACAAAACCAGCTACGGCGTCGTAGATATGCGTTAACGGTGTTTTACTTTCCGCATTCCCCTATGCCTTCCGCAGACGCATACCCAAACAAATACTGACCGATCCGTTTGTTCAGCAAACATGTTTATTTTTATACCGTTAACTGGGCTTAATCAAATTCTTATCATAAACCCATTCCATCGGTATTAATTTAGAGCTGCGCCGTTAACCTACTGATCGACAACGCGATTTCCTGCACACTTGAACTATACCGGTCCGCGAAGAATAACGATAATAATTATTGCGTTTTTTTTCTATCCATTGTTATTCAATTGAAAAATTTTCCAACGCCTATTACTTTCGCAAATACATTTCATTGTTAATTACAACGTATATACATATGCAATTAATTGTTCGCTGTCTTCTTTAAGTTACTATGAACGATAGATGCCTAAGTATGAGAAGAAGAAGAAATGAGAAAAGAATAATAATTGAGTGACTAAGGAAATGTATCAGCGTCTTCCATATTATGCTTTTTCCTATCATTAGTTATATATTGGTTATTATTTTTTCAAAATAGCAATGACGTGCAATGGATAAAATTTACAGAAATCATCCGATCCGTCTTAAACCCGTGGTCAAAATACCGAAAACTTCTTGCCGATTTCTGTTGCGTATGATATTAACCACACGAGATTGACCAGATTTTATTGCAAGTTCCACGCGCTTGATAATTGGGAATATTAAAGCATGGAGTTGAAAAAACGGTGGCCCTATACCTATAGATTCAAGTTTCTCCTTAACAATAATATAATATAACATTTAAAAAATTAGGAAAAATGAAGTAAATGTTCGTCAAGGTTTTAGAAAAATTACTGTATGGAACAGTTACTTGGGCACTTTTCTTAAGACATTTGACAAACTAGGGGTATGATAAAGGATATATTCCTTGTCCGCAATAACTTATAAATAAATTTTGTTATGGAGTCACGTATCGTTGAAAATGTCTTATTTGTACTTCAGGATGTATACGTTAGAACAAACAAAGCAACCCCTGCCATAGTTTTAAATATAATCGACATGAATATGGCTGGATAAAATAAACTTTTATAGCTAATCTGACGCAAAAAGTTAAAATAAAACTGTCATTGAAACTGCACTCGCCTTTACCTAAATTTAGAGTAATACATTCAAATTAAGAAAGATAATAAAAATGTTTTTCCACATTTAATATATTTAAGCAATTTAATTGAATAAGATTGGCCATTCCCTTTTTTTTGGTGTAAAATGTGCCTGAGTGCAACTTAAGGTACACCATTTAATCAAATTTTATATAATCTACAATTCTAAAAAAACAAAATCTAAAAACTTAAATCTGTAGTCGCTTCTCAAAAAAAAATCGGATATAGGAGGAATCTGTTTTGTTGCCTATTTAAAGAAAGAAGTGTCGGAAGGTTAAACAAAGAGGCAAATATAATATACGTTAAGACGCAGTAAGTAAAATTAAGTGTTTCTATCTAGTAAAATTTAGCACGAGAAACGTCAACAGCGAAAAAAAAAACTTGGTACCAGCTTTCCTGTTTTGAATCGTTAATTTAAAACTGGTAAACTGGTTGACAAATCTTGTGCTAATAATTTTGGTAAAAATGCATATATTGCTCGTTTTATTGGAAAATGGCCAAGCGTTTGTCCTCGGTTTGGCGATTAGACTTACTTTCTCTCTCTCAGAAGTTAAACGAAAAGCAAACACGAATCTCAAAAATTATTCCGAAAGCCGGTTACCGCTTTGAGCTTAAAAATGTCCACAGCTCATTTAAATTTTTGAATATCCGAACCGGATTACTGCAACCGTAAATAAAGTTCTACGAATACTCGTATAATCAACAATGAATAAAACAAAATTTCGCTCTAAACATGTTTTTTATTACAGAGTTGGTGTTATTTATACCAGTTTAACAGTCGTTTATGGATAAATTTAGATTTTCGTCACCTCAAAAACTTTTCTTTGATTATTTTAGAAAATTTAAGAGAAATTATTTAACGCCAGAACAAAAATGAATTCCAAATAAATTGGCAATAACAATTTTTTTAAGTACATCGCTGCACTTTTTTTTCGAAAATCTGCCCTGTTATCTTAGAAAGTATGATTTTTTTTTTGCGCTACGAAGAATAAAAAAATCAGCAATATTCGAGTTACACTTTTATAATTATTTCATCCATTAAAATAATTCAATAAATTCACCAGTCACCATTCAATTCTAAGATTTCTCAACCAGAATACTTTGAAAAGGAACGACCATAAATTGAGGGGAATAAGCAATAAAGTAAAAAATATTAAATACACATAGAGAATAAGAAAATGTATTGGGGACGAATCAGCGAGTCACGTTAAATTTACCGTTGGTTTTATCTTCCCCTTAATATTTAGTTATAATATGACCAAAAATATAGTGCATTTATTGCTTTGACGTTTTAAGTATTTCACAGTATCTTAACCGCAGACCTTCGCATTCCAGCAGATGTTTATTCTGTAGAAACTTGAATTTTTTATTTTAAACGTAAATGAACCGTTTTAAAGTTGAACATCAGGTGATATGTATCGTTCATAAGAGTTCAATCTAAATTGCAATATGTTCGTGTAAATTACGGAGGTATTTGACTGTGATCCCTCCAGTAAGTACGTATTCTACATAGTTCTTCGATTTGTAAACAACAGTCTCTTTTAAGATTATTCGCACTAAATAAAAGTACGTCATAAAAATACAGATAAATATTTATTAGAATCGTACAATTAAACATTTTTTGACGGTTCCTGTTTTTTAACACATTAAAATATGGAAACCGTGGAATGTTAGAAGAAGACATGGAAAACAACGCAGAATTTAAAGACCAAGTGGGCACGGTAGTCGAACCTAATGACAAATTTTATAATAGATTCAGAAGGGGAAGTAAGAGCACCAACAAAAACAAGTGACATGAGCAAAGTTCCGAAGTTAGAAGCTAGAAGGACTGCATAAAAAAGTACCGACAGACTTAAACATTAGTTGTGCCAAAAAAATGGATTTTCAATGTCAATGCTAATGGAATCTCAAAGAACGGAAGGTGGATTATTTCTAGGACAGTCTTGGAATGGTTACGGGTAAGAATCAAAAGATATTTATAAATAAAAATGGGGTAAGATACATTGAAAAGAGAAAGTTATAAAAGCAACCACCAATGGAAAATCCAAGAAAAATATGAAAAAGTTTCGAAAAATGTGGGAGCGTTGACTTAAATAAAATATATATAGGACGTCCCATTTGATGTCAACAATATTTTAAGTACCTTAAAATGGACATCTTATTCTTGTGCATTATAGAGATCACAACTTAAACAAAATCAAACTAAATCTTATTTACCATACTGAATCATATTTAATTTTCTTTTACGCCTTGTATTTAAAAAACGAAGATGTTGCGTACCCTAAACTTTCATTTCTATTGTAGGGTTGAATTCGCGTTAAATTTCGGAAAACCCCGTATAGAATAAAACGTCAAAGATGTCACCAATTTCACTAACGCAGGTGACCTCGTTGCAACAGGTAAGGTGCGGCGGTACGCGCGATCGCGCAGCGCGTCGCTATTTTAGCAATTTTACGGCACACATCGGAAATGACGTTTTAAGCGGAAATTCTTCGTAATAGGCTGAGCCCCGTTGGCGTTTGCTTTTCTAGGTCGTCGCTTCATGCATTGAGTTGCGCTTATCTTAAGTAACAGCGCATCATTGTATTGCATAATTAAATAATAACATAAGCGAATAAGCACGGCTGAAAATAATTAAAGGTGAAGCAGGCAAAGCTGCACATGCTCGGGATGATTGCGGAATTCTGTCAACCTTAAACCACCATGCACCTAATTAATTAAGCTGTAATAAAATCACCTATGCAGGGTAAAAATTATAAAGTAATTCACTTTTCACTTTTCCCGAAAAGCATTAATAAATAATAATAATAAAATAAAATAAAAAATGCCGGAACACGTCGATTTAGTTTACAGGGGGACATAGTTTTGCTTACAATTTAGATAGGAAAGACGGGTTATGGGGCACCTCTTTTTAAACGTTTTTGTTATATGTTTACGACTAGGTATTAATGCTAAAAATTTGTCGATTAATTTTTGAGATATTACAAAATGAAGCAAGTAGCAAGTAGCACAAATGATTATTTATTATACAAAAATATAAAACAATTTATATCATTTTTTATCATTTACCATTTTTATCCATGCGGTAGTAAGCAAGTTCAAAGGCTCTTCGGACATTGTCCAACATTTCTAAGGCTTATGCTTGTGTATTCACCTACTATTCTTTCACGCAGCTCTTGTTGAGATATTAATC